AAAGAAATGCTCTATTAGCCATTCATGATCTGAATTCTGGTGTATGAGATCAATTTAAATATGGTACACATAAAAAAAGTCATGAGACATTTGTAATAAATAAGGCAGTGGCCAACTATTACTCATTAGTAGCTTTTTTGAGATAAGCTATCAAGTCTGCCCTCTCTGCACTCTTCTTAATGCCAGCGAAGATCATTTTTGTTCCAGGGATGTACTTCTTGGAATTCTCCAAATACTCCATCAGTGTAGCCTCACCCCAGGTGATACCTTTGTTCTTGTTGGCATCCGTGTAAGAAAATCCAGGGGCCTGACCTGTCTTTCGCCCAAAGAGACCATGGAGATTTGGCCCAGTCTTGTGCTTGCCTCCCTTTTCCACAGTATGGCACTGGGCACACTTCTGAACAAAAATCTTCTTGCCCTTCTCAACATCACCCATTTTTAAATCGCTCGTTAGTCGCGCGCGACACAGAGATGCCCACTCGCGAGCCAGACGTCCCGCTCTCTAAGTCTCTCTGTTAATTTTAAAATGTTTTTAACCAAGATTTGCTTATAATGAAATTACAGGGTTTGTTTTTAATTAATTCAGTTATTTTTAACAAATTTTCGTGAATAGGCCATATGTTAGAAAAAAAACAAAACACTGTAATCATTACACCAACAGAAAGAAATGTGACATAGCCACAGCTATCGGCTACCTATTTACACCCAAGAGTCACGGCTCATGAACAACGTTTGGCGAATGCTCAGCACAGGATCCCACCGCATCCGCCAGGGAACTGGTTCTGCTGTCGGTGGCATGACTTTCTGCAGCAGTTTTAACGCTGCCGGCAGATGTGCCGACGTGCACTAAGCCATACTCCAGCCTGTGCATTTGTTTACTTGGGTGAGTGGTGAGTGCACGCATTTACCAGACCTATTCAGTATAAACTTAAAATTACAGTAATACATATAGAAAACTCTTCTGTGAAATTCAACTTTTCATACAGACTTAATTTTATTTACACAAATGTGTCTACATAAGGAAAAATAGGTAAATTAACTAATTTGTCAATTTTTTAATATACGCATTTGGAAAACCTACTTCATTATACAACAGACTTTCAGCTTTAACAGACACCCCCACACCCAAATTAGTCCATTATATTGAGGTTTCACTCTAAAGAGATGGTCTCTGGCCCCCAAGGACCTAGCAGCTAGTTGGGGAAGTGAGGCTAGTGGGAGAGTTCACACTTATCACCACGCGCTGCATCCCGGTCATTGCTCTGGGTTTATCAGAACAAGTCTGTGTCATTTGCAGATGAGGAAAGTGAGGTCCCGGAGGTGTGAGCAGCCTATCTGGGGCCCCAGAGCTAGGAAGTGCTAGACCTAGAATTTGAATTCATCTGTCTGGCTCCAACTGCCTTCACTGCCAATGGTCTCCACAGCAAAGATCATGTCACAACTCAGGTTCTAAGATGCATGACATAAACCCAGGTGCTGCAGAGTTCCAGGTAAAGGGGAAAATGAGAGGCACGATGGTCAGGCAATGGGACACGGAGGCAGTAAGATTGGCCTGGAAGTCAAGGCGGGGCGGGCCAGGTAGAGAGCTGAAGGTACAGCAGGGGAAGAGGAGGGAAAGGGGCACTGGGGGGTAGGAATGGGCAGGTGTTGGTTAGAAGATGGTGAAGGGCTGAGTTGGCACCTCAGAGTGCTTTTGCCTCAGGAGGTCTCCCAGGCATTCCAGCCTGCTGCTGCTAAAACACAACCCATAAACTCTCATCCAGCTCTACCATCAACTTTTTTAATATATATATTTTTATTGATTTCAGAGAGAAAGGGAGAGGGAGAGAGAGATAAAAACATCAGTGATGAGAGAGAATCATTGATTGGCTGTCTCCTGCACGGCCCCTACTGGGGATTGAGCCTGCAACCCAGGCATGTGCCCTTGACCGGGAATCGAACCATGACATCCTGGTTCATAGGTCAATGCTCAACCACTGAGCCACAACAACCAAGCTGCCATCAACTTCTTCTGTGACTCTTGGTACACTTGTCTGAGTTTCCGTTTTCTCAACACCAAATCAGGGGATCGGATGAGATAAGCATGATAGTTCTTTTAAAGTTAAAAAAATGTCTGTGGTTCTGTACCTTAAATACTTCAGCAGATTCATATCACTTTGTATCTAAAGACTAAGAGAAAAGTGAAGACTTATGAAATCTCTCTCAGGACTATGGCCAGGTTGCCTCTCACATCTGGCTAGACTGGCAGAAGCTGGTCATTTATGTCATAGGACAAGGGTAGCAGATAACTTTTATCCTCCTAAGACCCTGAAAAACAAAGAGAGGAGTGGACTGGTGGTTGCCAGAGGAGAGGGGTTTGGGGGACTGGGTGAAAGAGGTGAAGGGATTAAGAGGTACAAATTGGCAGTTATGAACTAGTCATAGGGATGTAAAGTACAGGATAGGGAATATAGTCACTAATCCTATGTCATAAAAGGCTAATATGCAAATTGTCCCCTCAACCAGGAGTTCGACTGGGAGTTCAACGGGGGAGGGGGAGCGGGGGGCTGGCTGGCCAACTGCCCAAGGACCCTCCCCCAAGCCAGCCTGGCCCTATCTGAGGTAACACTTTATAAAGTATGTGACCATCTAACCATGATGCTGTACACCTGAAACCAATAGAAAATAGTATTGAAAGTAAACTAATTTAAATTTTTTTAAATTTAGAAATCAAAAAAAAAAAAGAAGAAGAAGAAGAAAGAGCAGGCTGGAGTCTTATGTCCCCAGGGCCTCAGTAATATGCCCCAGTCATTGTTAGTTTACAGGAGTAGGTGGGGGGCAGAGCTGTCAGCAGCGGCCCCAGGAGAAAGGCTCAGTTGACAGGTGTTACTGATACAGCTTTGTCATCTGCTGTTTTCTGGTTTTAGGGGCACCACTTTGTTTGTTTAATTTATTTTTATCTCAAATGAAATTTGAGAGAAAAAAATGATTTAAATGAAATTAACTATAGTTTTAGAAGGTCCCCAAGTATATGAGGGAAAGCAAAAGAGGGAGTAGTCTCAAAATAGGAAGGGCTACTATAACAGTTCGCTGGTCAGTTCCGTGGGCTCAGGAAGCATGATGGTGCATAGGCTCCTGCCTCTACTTCTTATCATAGGATTGAGGAGGTTGCTCCACAGGTCCCTGGTGTTGGCCACATAAGCCCTGAATAATCAATCTCCTACTCATTCATACACACACACACACACACACACACACACACACACACACCCCTGAATGCATAGAGGGTTCTCAGCAACCGTAAGCCATTCAGAATAGTCCTTCAGAGTGGAGCCGCTCACAGAGCAACTCCAGCCTCAGGAGTGAGTCCACGCTCAAATTTCATGCTTTACATAAAGTCAGGCATTGTACTGCAGCTCTCTGTTTGTCCCCTAGCTTTTTCATCAAGTCATATGACTGTGCTAAAGTTGGTATCTAGAAGGGTTAAAACATATTTCATTTGGGGAAGGGAATCTATAATCAAGATGTTTTCAAAGCCAGTTCAATGAGATGCCTTGGGATGACTTGATGTCTGAAAGGCCTAGGAAGAAAAAGAGAATCTTTTCAAAACCAGGAGGCAACTTTGGGTTAGCTGTCAGGTGGAAGGGCCACTGGATCTCAGTGGAATGCCTTTTCTCAGCTCACTGAGACTTCAGTCTGAATCTTTAATCAACTCTTAGACATCTGAGTTGTTCATTTGTTACCTAACTATTCCTTCCTTTCGACTTCTTCCCAACAAATTCATCACAGGTTCAACAACAGGCTTAGTCCACAGTCATCCTGAGAAGTTGCCCTTGCACGTTAATGTTAACACCTGGTAGTATACTACTTAGAACCTTAACACTATTACTTCATGTAGCAGCCCAGTGCTTCAAGTTGGCTCCCACTGTTCATTACCTTGGTGTCACTTACCCAAGTCCATAATTCTCTTTGACTCTCCAAGAGATCTATGTTCAGTATGCTGCCATGTTTCTACTCCTGGACCAAGCTCTAGTTCTTGAGGATCTCTACACCTGCTTTCTTATCCACAAGATGGGAGTAATGAGAGTACCCACCTCGTAGGATTGTTGTGAGGATTAAATACATTAATACAGATGATGCACTGAAAGAAATGCCTGGCCTGTTGTAAAAATGCTCAGAATCTTCTGTTATCTTATTGAGCTAAATGTCTTGTTTACTTAGGCAACGGGCCTCAATCACTATTTTCCAAAATGCTGCTTCTGGTTCAGAAGGATTTGATAACATGGGTAAAGGAGAAAAGGCAATAAAAATTGGCTCTGTGATTTTGAACCTGGGTGATTGGTACTCTAGAGCAAATATTAAACATGGGAATGATGGAGAGGAAAAATACTTGCTTTCCTTTTAGTTCAGGTCTAGTGGGTTCAATACAGTTATTTGCATAGACAGACAATAAAAGCACTAGTATGTTTCTTTTTAAATAACAAATGTAGGTCTTTCTTCCTCTCAGCGTTCTCACGAGAATGGTGTGGGAGTATGGGGACAGCACGTGGAGCCGTCATGTTCTCTTTACCAAAATGGATACAGCCACATTCGAGATTTTAAAATAGAGAAACGGGGCAGAAAGGTTGACTGAAGAGAAATGAAGATAAGTTTGATTTTAGACATGGGATGTGGCATTTGAAGTAAAAATAACGCATTTGAATAGAAAAAAAAATCTTTACAGAAATCAGGACTATGAAAGCCAAATATGGTAAGAAAAATGAGGAGGAGAAAACCGATGTGGAAATCTTCCGTGGTCTAAAGCTGATCTCTAACACGCAGAAAACAGATGTCTTCCTTGAGAGAAAAGGTAGAAAGAGAACAGGAGGCTCGTGTTCATCCTCCCCAATCTGTGTAGGACGTTCTCACACTCACAGTGCATTTGAGATTGCCTTTTGCCTTTTCTTTCAGTTCCAGGACAATGGGGACTGTATGCTGGGCTGGCTTTAGGGGGCGTCATTGGTGTCATCCTGATTCTCCAAGTGGCAATACTTCTATTCAGAAGAAGAGGTAGGTGTCTAACAATAAAGATGCTTATCAGAGTCTCTGTGGTAAGCAGGGGACCTCTCACCACAAGCACGAACTTGCTCTCTTCGATTTAGCTTTCCTCAGGGAGTACCTTTGCGAAAACACTGAGCAAACATATCCTGGGACCTTGTTCAGTTCAGTCTAATTCAAAATGTCTCAATCCCCTACACCAGTGGTGGGCAAACTCATTAGTCAACAGAGCCAAATATCAACAGTACAACGACTGAAATTTCTTTTGAGAGCCAAATTTTTTAAACTTAAACTATATAGGTAGGTAAACTGTTATTAACTTAATTAGGGTACTGCTAAGCTGGCCTTTGCTAAAAACGTCCTCCATCTGATTGAGGTACGTTTGCTGAGGTCGACCCCTTCCAACTCTCCCATCCACACTGGTCTTGTATACTTGTTTCGTCTATCTCCTTTCGTTCATCCTCTCTATATGTCCAAACCATCTCAACATACCTTTCTCAATCCTCGACACTACATCTTCTTTCACTCCACAACGTTCCCTAAAATTAACTTAATAAACCTTACTTTTGTCACCCGCGCACGATTTGCGGACGCGACTAGCACTAACCACTGCACATGAGACTGCTGACTGACTGGCTCACTCAACTCGTGCATGAATCGCGCGCCTCCCCCCACCCCGCTGCGTATCCCGCGGCCCACCTGCTCCGCATCTCCCGTCACCCGACCGACCGACACCCCCCACTTCTTCTAACGCCACTTCTTCAAAATAGACTCGCCCAGGCCGAAAACTGACTTCTGCTCATGGGCCACAAAGATTCAATCGCACTGTACGTGAGCGCCCGCACATGGTATTTTGTGGAAGAGCCACACTCTAGGGGCCAAAGAGCCGCATGTGGCTCGCGAGCCGCGGTTTGCCGACCACTGCCCTATACTAGCCTATGTGGATAAAAAGAGACATGAGGTTTAGGTATCTAACATGGGAGACATTATACACAGTTAGTTTTAATTCAATGTGACAAATACTGCTGAAGGGGTACTGACTAGAGTTTTAATTGGAGCAGAACTCAGAGGACTCTTGGATCTCATTCAAGAAAAGTTGTAATCATTGACCAATAACAGGACATTATAATACATTTTTGCGCAAGGGTCGAAATCTTACTATAATTTCTCGCTATTCCTATGATATCCCTCTGAGAGAAGTAGGGTAACTGTTTCTATGTGACTTAGCAATGGGCTAACAGAGGCACAGAGAGGCCAAGTGACTTGTCCAAGGCCACCCAGCTGGTTGGCAAGGAAATGAGAACTGTAACTATGTCTCCGAGCCCCCAGGGTGCATTCCCCTGGGAAGGCCCACAGGTCATCAGAAAACAGCAGAGGGATCACTCTTTACTAAGACTTTTGCACAAATCCCGACTCACCTTGGGAAAGTGTGCAATTTGTGAGGTTGCTTAAAGCCAAACTAAGTAATACAGAAAGTCATCCAGAAGAGACTAAAACCATCAAGGCCCAATGGTTTCCTTGCTGTTTAAGTGCCTAGAAGTAGTTTCTCCTGCCTATTCCTCCAAACGGTCCTATGATTCAGTGTCTCAAGGCAGTGTGCTCCCCTCCACCACACTTTCCTCACCCACCCACCCACACGAGGGCCCCCAGATCCGCATGGGGAGGAGAGAACATATCTTCATGTCATCAAGCTGATGGCTGAGCTCATTCGCAAGTAGATCTATCTTGCCCACATGTAACCTTTTCGGAAAAGCCCTTACCTCAGCACTCTGATGTTGGTTTTGCTTATATAAGAAAATCTAGATCACAGCACAGCCACCTACTTTGTCTCATTTCCTCCATCTAAGAGTTCGCTGGGGAGGAGGTGGAGGGAGGGGTGATTCAGACAGAACTCAAGAGGACAGCCGATGAGCATGGGGCAGGGCAACCACACTTGGCTTGGATAATAAGGAAACAGTGAGATACCATGGTTGAGAAAACAAATTAACACACCCACGTTAACCTCATTAGTGGGAGGTGCTAGGAGTCTCACCCACATTTTTTCATCAACTACATCCTACTCCTCATACAGTTGTGCTCTGAAGGGACTAGTACTCTTCATCCCACGACAATTTCCTACCACCATCCCCAACACACACATCCGTCCTCATAGCCAGTCACCATGTATTCCTTGTCAGCCAGGAACACAAAAACCCTGTTTCAAACCTGTGGGAAAACCCGTTCTTAATATCTGTCCCCTCCAAAGACTCTGCTCAAGAGATCCTGTTGGCAGTTTCTAATGCTGCCATCTGCCAAATGCAGCTGGACTTCAAAGGTTTCTCAATGGACTCTGGCAACTTCATATCCAGAATACACGGATTGAGAACATGGGCTTTGACGTTAGACAGACTTACATTTGAATGCAGATGTTGCCCCTGACCAAACAAATGACTTAACCTCCCCTCTGGAAAATGAGAACAATATTATGTACTTCATGTTCTTGTCGTGGGGATGCATGAGCTCATACACAGAAATCATAGGATACAGCGGCTTCTGTGGATAGATGTCAGAGAGGTAGATAGATGATAGATAGATGATAGATAGATAGATAGATAGATAGGTAGATAGATTGATGATAGACAGTGTGGCGTCTGGCACATTCTCTAGACCAGTGGTTCCCAAACTTATTTGGCCTACCGCCCCCTTTCCAGAAAAAATATTACTCAGCGCCCCCTGGAAATTAATTTTTTTTAAATTTTAATAGCAATTAAACAGAAAGTTATATGTATTAATGTTTCTACCTTTTTCGTAAAATATAGTAAAGAAAGGTGTAAATTAGAAACATCATTGAAGTTAATTATGAAACTATTTATTGAACTCAGAATAGAAAGGTAATACAAAAAAAGTTAAAACAAATGCACCTGTGGCCATCACCGCCCCCCTGGATCGCTGCAGCGCCCACCAGGGGGCGGTAGCGCCCACTTTGGGAATCACTGCTCTAATGTAGTGAGTTAAAACATCAATAGTGAAGTCTTATGGCCAGCAGAGGGCAGCACAGGAAGCACCTGGGAAAGGTACCTTGTTTTAAAGATTTAAAGTACTTGAAGTCATGGTAGCTTTATGCTTCAGGTGAGAGCTGAAAAGGACATTAGACAGTCTACAACTTCATTTTAAAGGCATGGTAACAGAAGAGACCCAGTTAGCTGACATGTTTTGGTCAATGCCACACAGCTGACGAGGGCTAGAATGTAGATGCCCTAACGCTAAGGCCTTTTTCACGAGAGCCGAAGGCTTCACTGATTGGAGCAGAGTCGAGCTGGCTCCTGGACACTTGCTCTTACCCTGGAACAAAATAGGAGACTACATGATCTTGGTCCAGTGGTCTTTTTGAGAAGCAACGTTCAACCTTACTTTTTCCATCTGACCATGTAGGACTGTCCCCCACAGCTCTACATTTCAGCCTGAGCTGACCTGTAAGACTGAGAGGCCTTGAAAACTGGGGTCTATTCTTTATTTGTTCTCCTACAGCACCTAGGGCAGTGCTAGGCGGGCACTTCTAACTTTGCAAACATTCATAGATTTGAACTGAAAGGATATACTACAGAGAACTAACTTGCAACTCTTCTGTTACTTCCTCTGATCACCTCAACCCAGGGGTGGGCAAACTTTTTGACTCGAGGGCCACAATGGGTTCTTAAACTGGACCGGAGGGCCGGAACAAAAGCATGGATGGAGTGTTTGTGTGAACTAATATAAATTCAAAGTAAACATCATTACATAAAAGGGTACGGTCTTTTTTTTTTTTTTTTAGTTTTATTCATTTCAAACGGGCCGCCCGCGGGCCGTAGTTCACCCACGGCTGCCTCAACCCCATCCTCCATTCTACATGCATGTGCGCATGCGCCTGCACACACACACACACACGCACACACACACACAGTCCTCAGCCACTATCAACTCTGACCCAAAAAGTGAAGCTGGAACCACCAAGCACTCCATGCCCATGCCCACCCGAGAAAATCAGACATTGACATTCCTTCAATTCTTTGAGCTTCTCCAGTGACTGCCCATCATTTCCTCCCCAAGGATCACACCCTTTTTCTCTTCCACAGAAAAGTATACCTCTCCTAAGTGGAATTCCCTCAGAGACATGCTCCTAGTTTTTTAAGACAATAAATTCATTGGTGTTCAAACAAGGGTGCCCTAAAAAATAAGTGTGCCCTAAAGACTTTGTGTCATTTCCTCTGGGCCGGGTCTCCATAGCCTCTGCCAAATGGGCCTCCACGTTTTCGTGTGTTACTTTCCCTCCATCCCTCTCACGGCTACACGATGCATGCAAAGAATGCCATGAAACATTAGAAAGGATGAGGGAGGTGGGAAAGATCCTCAACACATTGTAAGTGAAAAGGTTAAGAGAAGTGTGTATGGAATGACCCCATTTGCATACAAAATACCTATATAACTACAGCAACTGCCCAGGACTGCACTGTCTCATATGGTAGTCACTAGCCATGTGTGGCTTTTTAAATTTAAATTAATTAGAGTAGAATTGAATTTATAATTCAGTCCTTGAAAACTGGGGTCTGTTCTTTATTTGTTCTCCTACAGCACCTAGGACAGTGCTAGGTGGTCACTTCTAACTTTGCAAACATTCATAGATTTGAACTGAAAGGATATATTATAGTTAACCACAGTTCAAATGCTCAATAGCCACCTGTGGCTACCTATTAGACTGCAGACATGAAACATTTTCATCATCACAGGAAATTCTATTGCACAGAGATGGTCTGGAAGGATAGAAATCAAACTGTTAAAAGCGATTATTTCTGAGAATGAAATTGCACAGCTTAATGGGGTAGAGGGATATCATTTTTATTCTATACAATTTTTAAAATATTTTTATTGATTTCAGGGAGGAAAGGAGAAAAAGAGAGAGAGATAGGAACATCAATGATGAGAGAGAATCATCGATCAGCTGCCCCGCATGCCCTCTACTGGGGATCGACCCTACAACCCGGGCATGTGCCCTGACTGGGATCCAACTGTGACCTCCTTCCTGGTTTATAGGTCGACATTCAACCACTGAGCCACACCGGCAGGCTTACTCTATACAATTTTTATTTTTGTAATGAGAATGGATTATTTCTATAATTTTAAAAAGTTGTAAAATTAGTTAAAAACTAAAATGTTTTGCAACATTACTTTCCAGAAAGCCTGGACTCTGAACAAAATTTCCTGTTGGTAGGCAATAGAACGACATTATAACTTTATTTTCTAAGGAATCTCAGGAGCACTATCCTTCTTATAGTCCCTCCCCTTCACATGCACATCAAGTCCCACTGAAGCAGGGAGGCAAGGAAGCTGTGAGTGAAGCAGAAGGTTATGAGCTGAAGAATACAAGAATAAAAGGCATAAATAACTCATTCTGCCCTTTAAAAACTTAGAATCCTGTTAAAAAACCAGATACTCACATAAAAAAATAAAGATTAAAATAATTTATGACACTTAACGTGAATTGGGAATTTACTATTTGCCAGGCACTATTCTAAACACTTCACAAGGCATGTCTCATGCTGTCATCGCAACAGCCCTGTGAGGCAGGTGTTTCAACCCATTTCACAGACAGGAAAATAGGCCCAGGGAGTTCAAGTAACTAACCTAATGCCATATGACAGCTGTCGTGGGGTGTCGGGGGGAGGAGAACTCAGTGCTTTGTTCCCATGGTGCTCTTAGGGAACATTGGTACACAATGGGGGGGGGGGGGAGGGGGTTCATGCTGGGGACCAGAGGGAGATAACTCTACGGTTTCTTTTCTCCAGGTAAGACAGACCATTATGAGCCAACAGTGGAAGAAAAAAGTCTTACTATCTATGCCCAAGTCCAGAAATCAGGTGTAAGTTCTATACTTTCTTTTTCTTAGGTGTTTCCTACGGCTTCCTGCCAGTTCACCATGCATTTCTGACATTCACAGTCCTCCGTGGGTTCTGAAGCAGGGGAAGTTAAGGGAGCAGAAGTCAAGAGCTGAAAGGATACTAGCTTCAGTGTCAGATGGGACTATTTGTTAGTGAAATAACAGAAAATACCGGGTAATCTTCTGGTCATCTGTTTCTTCACAGGAAAAAAAAAGGGGAAGTTAGAAAGACATGACATGTGACTCCTTCCAGCTCGCACGCATTCTAGGAGTCTACCGTCCCAGGTTATGAAACTCTCTCCTTTTCTAGGATAAAAGGTGCAGGCGTGAGGAGAGTGGAACAGGTTTAGGAAAGCAATTGTGTGACAGGTTGGACTGGTCCACCTTTAGAAGTTTGCAAAGTGCCAAAGTGCCAAAGTGCCAAAGTGCCAAGGAAGGGAGGATTCTGGCTCAACAGGGGTGAAGAGATGGATGATGCTACGTAGGCTGAAAATGAAAGAAAGCAAAACTGTGATGGTTGGACTGAGACAGCAGAGAGGGATAAAGAAATTAGAGTTATGATGACGTTGAGCAGATGTTAAGAGGGGGATTACAGGGATTGTGATTAGCTATTATGATATTACTAGAGGCCCGGTGCACAAAAATTTGTGCACTCGGGGGGAGGGGGAGTCCCTCAGCCGGGCTTGTGCCCTCTCGCAGGTGGTGACCACTTGCTGGCTTAGGCCTGCTCCCTGGGGGATTGGGCCTAAGATGGCAATCAGACATCCCTCTGGCAGCCTGGCAGCCCTCGGGGGATGTCCACTTGCCAGCGGGGAGCAGGCCTAAACTGCAGTCGGACATCCTTAGCGCTGCTGAGGAGGCAGGAGAGGCTCCCACCACCGCTGCTGTACTGACAGCCGTCAGCGTGGCTTGTGGCTAAGCAGAGCTCCCCCCAGTGAGAGTGCACTGACCACCAGAGGGCAGCTCCTGCATTGAGAGTCTGCCCCCTGGTGGTCAGTGTGTGTCATAGTGACCAGTCATTCCCAATCCTTCTGCTGTTAGAGTTTGTTTAGCTTCTATAATCGCAACATTGTTGCATCCGGAGCTCAGAGCTGGGCTGTGGCAGGCGGGGACCTTGGCTTCCTCCGTCACTGGCTCATGTTCGCTTCAGCTGCGTGGCTGCCGGCCGCCATCTTAGCTGGCAGTTAATTTGCATATCTCGCTGATTAGCCAATGGGAAGGGTAGCGAATTAACGGTTAATTACCATGTTTGTCTATTATTAGATAGGATAGTTTTTCCGACATGAAAACAATTCTAGGTGATAGGCCAGTATCTGGTCATTCAGAGTTGACTGGAAAGCAAATTCTGGAGTAAGGGATATAAAGGCAAAGGGATCTTTGATTAGTATGTTGGGAAATTGCATCACATGAAAATAAATGCAGTTCTGATAACCAGAGATGAACTTTTGGACAAAGCTCTTGTTTCTGCTGTCCTCTAGTGGCCCGGAGGGTTTATTACACAGGCCACGACAACCACTGAGAACCATCCTCCATTTAAATATATTAGAGTCTCAAGAGCAACCTCCATTCTTGCATTTATACATTTAGGTAACCAGGTTCAGCTTTATCATGGTGCCTTCCCTATCTATTCCATGCAGTAAGCACCCCTCTTTCTACTGTATAAAGTATGGCATAGATACCAAAAGTGCACAATGTATGTGTCAGCTCAATGAGTTACCCCATCTTAATATCTAGTAAAGCAAATCCTCCTACCTTGTTTTTCTTTAAGAGTTTCTGACCATTTATATGTATTTTAGAATCAACTTCTCAAGTATCACAAAAAGGAAAAAAAATCCTACCAGGATTGCACTGAATCTACAGATCTATTTGAGGAGAAATTATATCTTGCAGTATCGAGTCTCCCTAATACCATAAAACTATTACTCATATAAAGGAACAGAACATTGGCAGCAACCCCCAGCCCTCCTGGTGCCCCTCCCAATCACTAACTTCTCACTCTTCCCCTAAGAGAGCACTATCCTGATTTCTGAAACTATAATTTAGTTTTCTCTCTTTTTCTCTTGATTTTATGAAAATGGAATCCTACGGTATCTTTCCTCTTGTTTGATTTCTTTTGCTCAATATTACCTTTATGATATTCATACATGTCTTTGAGCTTAGATATAATATATTCATTTTCCTTGTTTTATAGATGTCAATGCATGACTATACTAGTTTATTTATCCAGTTGACTATTGATGAACATTTGGATTATTTCCAGTGTGAGGCTACTATAAAAATGGCACTATGAACACTCATACATATGTCTCTCTCTTGGTAGACATGTGCACATATTTTTGTATGGTATACACCTAGAAGTAGAATTGCTGAATCATAGAGTATGCATATCTTCAAATTTACTAGATAAAGCCAGACTGTTTTTTCAAAGTGGGTGTAACAACTTACTTTTCTATCAGATATGTTGAGCAGATATGAAGAGGGAGGCTAAAGGGATTATGATTAGCCATTATGATATTACTAGAGGCCCAGTGCACGGATTTGTGCATGGGTGGGGTCCCTCAGCCTGGCCTGCAGGGATCAGGCTGAAACCAGCTCTCCGACATCCCCCGAGGGGTCCCGGATTGCTAGAGGGCACAGGCCAGGCCAAGAGACCCTACTAGTGCATGATCAGGGCAGGGAGGGAGGGCTCCAGGGCATTCCAGCCCATCTTGCCCAGTCCCGATAGACCCCAGCAGCAAGCTAACCTGTCAGAGCATCTGCCCCCTAGTGGTCAGTGTGCATCATAGCAACAGTCGAACGAACTGTCAGACACTTAGCATATTAGGCTTTTATTATATAGGATAGTTATAAGAATTTCAGTTGCTATACATTATAATCAAAATTTGGTATTATTAGTCTTTCAAATTTTAGTTATTCTGTGGATTTTTATGGTTTTATTTTGCGTTCCCCTCATTATTAAGAAAGTTGAAAAGCTTCCCATATGTTTATTGCCCGTATTAATACTATCCTCTTTCTTAAAGTGCTAATAAATCTCTAGCCCATTTTCTTTTGAGTTCCAGACTTTTTTTTATGGATTAGTAAAGCTCTTAAATATTTTTACCATTTTGGCAGTTATATGTTAGCAAATACCTTCATTCATTCTGTGGCTTGCCTTTGCAATTTCCCAGAGATGCCTTTTGATGAGGACAATTTCTTTCCATTTTTTGTTTTTTTAGTGTAGAGCATTTAGTAATCTCTTTCTTTATAGGTAACACTTTTTATGTTCTGTTTGAGGAATCTTTCTCTACTTCCAGGTAATGAAGATATTCTACCATCTTCTTAAAGGTGTATGGTTTATATTTCTCATTTATTCTGTTATGTACCTGAAAATGATTTTTGGAGTAGAGTGTGAGATGGGTTAACTTTCATTTTTTCCCGTGTGCATAGCCTATTGACCATTTATCAAAAAGATTGTCCTTGCCCACTACAGTGCCACCTTCATCATAGACCAAGGGCCATATATGTGTGAATCTATTTTGAGGTTGTCTGTTCTGCTCCATTGGTCTATTTGTTTATATTTGCACAAGTCCTGCACCATCTTTACAAATCTGTGGTTACTGATTTATCATAAGTTTGAGATCTGGTAAAATGAGTTTTCTCACTTGTTCCTGTTCTTCTGCAAGAGCTCTTGGCTATTTGGGGTCTTTTTTATTTTTTTACTGTTTATTTTATTTTATTTTTTAGTTGAATTTATTGGGGTGGCATTGGTTCACAAAGTCATACAGGTTTCAAGTGTACAGCTCAATAAAACATCATCTGCACACTGCGTGCACCCACTGCCCCAAGCAAAGTCTTATTTCTTCCCCATTTCCCCTGTCCTTTGCCCACCTCCACCTATGCCACAACCCCTTTCCACCTATCACCACACTGTTGTCTGTGTCTATATATTTTTTTAATTCAGTTTGTTGAGTTCCACCTAAGAATCCTGCTGGAATTTTAATTAGTACTGCAGTGACCAATTTGAGGAGACCAAACATATTTATAGAGCTAAGTCATTAAACTAAAAAGATTATATAGACTTTTCTTTATTTTGGTCTTGATTTCTGTAAGTGATGTTTTATAATTTTTTGCATTAGAGTAGTTGTACATTCTTCATAATCTGTTATTTGGCATTTGAGCATTTGATGTTTTGGGATACTATCAGCAATGTTATCTTTTAAAAAAATTTTTAGTTTCTGTTTATTACTGATATATAAGAATACAATTAATTTTTATATATTAACCTTATATTTGCAACATTGCTAAATCATTTATAAACTGCAGGCATTCCAAGCAAGTCCCTGTTGATTTTTACAGTCACATTGAGTTTTGTCCACGAGCCATATTGATCTTTCATTATTTTCCTATGTTAGAAGTTACCCATAATGTCTTTATAGTTAATAAAGGGCTCCCTGAAATCCTGAAAAAAATAAATAAATAAACTGCAGGCATTTATCTATAGATGATTTTGGAATTTTTTTCTGTACACAATTGTGCCACCTATAAAAAAAATTATAGTTTTTATTTTTCATTTTCAATTCACATAACTTTCTTTTTCTTGCCCTGTTTTATTGGCTAAGACATCCCACACAATGCTAAATGGAAGTGATAACATGGTATCCTTGCATGGTCCCAAACTCAAAAGAAAAATGTTCAATATCTTACCATATATCTTACCATTAAATATGATTTTTGCTGAACATTGTTTATAGCTGTCTTTTTATCTGATTAAGAATATTCTCTTTGCCCTGGCTGGTGTTCTCAGTGGTTAGAGTGTCAGCCACAAACTGAAGGATCTCTGGTTCGATTTCCAGTCAAAGGCACATACCTGGGTTGCAACTTTGAGTCCTGGCCCAAATCAGAGCATGTGAGGGAGGCAACCAATCTGTGTCTTTCTTACATCGATGTTTCTCTCTCTCTCTCTCTCTCTCTCTCTCTCTCTCTCTCTCTCCCCCTTCCTCACTCCCATGCTCCACTCTCTCTAAAATCAATGGAAAAGATATCTTCTGGTAAGGATTATCAACAACACAAAAGAATTTCTCTTCAAACTATGTAAAAGATTATATAGTAAATCAAGCACTTATTTAAGACCAATCTATGTACATTTGCTATTTTAAATATTAGCAATAATTAAAATGTATAAAAATGTTGCCCATAAGAGAGAAATATTATTCATGTGCTTAAATTTAAAATAGGTAATTGAATAAGAGGTTTAGTCTTATGTTTACAAGTGTGGGAACATGAAAGACATGAAGAACTAGTCACATTGACATTTCAAATTAAAAGTCCAAGTGAAGTTGTTAGACAATTGAATACTCTGAAGAGAATGAAGCACTGAAAATTTCTGAATGTAGTTTAAAACCTTTGAAGAGTATAATTTCCCAGAAATTATTAAAATTTGTTTGAATAGAATAAGATTTATAAGCCTGGACTTTCTTTCTTAAGGAGGCATTTGGATTTAACTTGAATACATTGAATATTAATTTTAAAATTAATACAAATTAAAAAATAAGAACAAAAAATATTCTCTTCTAATCCTGGTCTGCTAAGACATTTTATCAAGAATTAATTGATGTTGAATTTTATCAACACTCTGCACCTGTTGATATAATCTTATGATTTTTGAAAAATTTATCTTTTGTATTTATCTACTGAACTACACCAATTTGCAAAGATCAAACCAACTTTGTATTCCTGGAATAGAAGCAATTTAGTCTGGTCCTTTTTGCCAGATTTTATTTGCTAATACTTTAGGATTTTTTTTCTGTTTATGTTTCTGAATGAAATTGGTTTGCATTTTTTTCTTTCTTGTAATGGTTTTGTTATCAAGAGTATGCTAACCTCACAAAATAAGCTAGGGTGTGTTGGTTTCCTAGTGCTACTGTAACAACTACAAACTTGGTGACTTAAAACAACGAAAATTTATTCTCTAACAGTTCTGAAGGCCTGAAGTCCAACAGGAAGGGGTCAGTGGGCCTGGCTCCTGCTGAGGCCCTGGGGGAGAGTCTTTCCTTGCTTCTTCCAGCTTCTGGTGGCTCCGGGGACTCCCTGGCATTTGTTGGCTTGTAGCTACATCACTCCAATTTCTGCATCCACCTTCACAGAACTTTCCTCTCTCTGTCTCTCTGTGGCTTCTCCTTTTCTGTCTCTTGTAAGGATACTTATCACTGGATTTAAGACCTACTCTAATCCCACATGACCTCATTTGGAAATTATTACCGTAACTATATCTACAAAGATCCTATTCCAAATAAGGTCACATTTGAGATTCTGGGTGAATCTATTTGGGGGAAGCGGGCCACAATTCAACGCATTACAGGATGTATGTCCTTCTTGTTATTCTTTGGAAATGTTTGGGTACAATTTAAATATTTGGCAGAATTCATGAGTGAAGCCAGGGGTTTCTTTGAGAAGATATTTAAATTATATTTTTATTATTTAATTTGCCTATTAAACAAATTTTTTTTCTATCTTTTATTGGTTACCCTAGAAATAAGGAAATGCATCCTTGACTGATCAAAGTCTAAATGTATTTCCTTCCTGGGCAATACTTTAACTTTACCTTTTTTTTTTTTAACTCCATCTTTAAGTACACCTCTTGATTTATGTTCCTTTTTGGTCATTATTTTAATTTCATATATGTTTTAAACATACAAGACTTATCCACATCTTTATAGTTTTTTTCACATTTACAATGCCTATGTGATATTCTATAAAGACTGTGATAACATGGACAATTATCCACATCTACTAATATTTCCTTTGTTCTTTTTAATGGCTATTTAATACCCTCATAAAGGCTATAATAACATAGAAAACTCTTTACCAAATAAATGTCTGCTGTCTGCTAGGGACTCTTATAGGTCTTATCAGGGCTAGCACCTTGCACAGTTCCAGGGGATAGCATTCATAAAGAATGTGGGTATAATACGCATTATTTTTGCAAATAATGGAGTTTCTTGCAAATAATCCTTCCTGGAGTTGTGCCCTAACTGAAGGCTTCAAGATGCAAAAAGGTACTAAGCTATTACACCATGTTTAAAAGGATCCCCTAAGCCTAGATAAAAATCCTGAAGAGAAATCTAACAACCTGCTAACCATATTGTGTTAAAGTGATGAAACTATGTGTGTTTCCACTATACTTTTCTCTTCTTCCTAAACTTTTTAATGAGATGTGAAAAGCTACGTTCTTCGCCTTCTCCCTATGCCTCTAAGTCAGGTCATAGAAGCGTCCCCCCAGGCCGTCAGACAGGCAGGGGTTACTTCTGTTGATCAAGGTCTCTTAAATCGTTTTACATTCTTCTTGTGCATCTCATTATTGCAAGTAATTCTTCCTTAAATTCAAATTTTCTCCAAAATTCAGTATCTACAAATTGTATGGGATCTTGGAAGTCATCTATTTAAACCAGGCAATTACTGTTTGAATTACTTTCTACAACATTACTTTCAAAGTGTTGGCTATCTTCCTTTTACTAAAATATAATCTCAGACCAACCATTAGCAGCATCACTTGGGATCTTACTAGAAATGCAGACTCCCAGGCCCCACCCCAGACCTTCTGAAATAGAACCAGCCTCCTAAGAAAATCCCTAGGTAGCCCTAGCCAGTTTGGCTCAGTGGATAGAGCGTCGGCCTGTGGACTGAAGGGTTCCAGGTTCAATTCCAATCAAAGGCATATGCCTGGGTTGCAGGCTCGATCCCCAGTAGAGGGCATGCAGGAGGTAGCCAATCAATGATTCTCTCTCATCATTGATGTTTCTATCTCTCTCTGGTAGCCAATTGATTCTCTCTCATCATTGATGTTTCTATCTCTCTCTCCCTCTCCCTTCCTCTCTGAAATCAATAATAATTAATTAAAAAAAGAAAGAAAATCCCCAGGTAAGTCATAGGTACATTGAAGTATGAGAAACCCTGAGCCACCCAAGCATTTTCAATGCAATTGCCTCCCAATGCAATTCATCCCACATTTGAGCACCCTTTATTTTAGAAAAAATCTTTATTACATTGCACGAAAGATTTCCCTAAAATTCCAACCTGGGTTTAAACCTGAAGGACTCTACATTACAAACCTAATTTCTCTTCTACATGGCAGCTCATCAAAACACATGAAGAGAAAGATCATGTTCTACCTGGAACCTTTTCTCCTTCAGTAACCTTGTCCAATTCCTTACCTCTCCCTTAAGGTGACGAGATTCTAAGTTCTCTCCCATTAAAAGCCATGTACTTCAGTTTCGAGCCTTGCTCTATATCAGGAAAAGTAGAGAGTAGCATTAGTCTACATCAGAGTACCCTACATCCTTGCTGAATGGGTGACTTCCCTGGCACAAAATATGTCATCTCCCTCTTACAGGGTTGTGGTCACAATGTACCCTCCCACTGATTGTAGATTGTAATTCATTCAAAGTGACACCAGCACTATTTTGTGGGGAATGCAAAGAAAGATAGCAGATTTCTCAAGGAATTGATCGTCTATTTGGAGAAACAAAGTTTAACTATGAGTGTGTTAACTTCAGCATACAGTTAAGTGACATAGTGTGTGGAGTAGATTTTAAATAACAGAGGAATTTAGGTAAAGGAGAGGTCATTATAAGTTGGGCGACCGAAGGAGAAGGGTCTGATGGACAAGTGCTTGGTGGGCCTCCTGGCTTCAGTGCTTCTTGCATCGTACACATCAGGAAAGTACTAAACCGTTCTGGGCTTTGGCTTGTTCATCTGTGAAATGTGAGTGACAACCGTATTTAGCATACAGAGTGGTTGTGAGACAAATGAAAAGACATGTGAAGAACTTGGTAAACTTTAACACACATGTATGTGGTTATTATTAAGTTCCATATTTCATACAGGAAACAGAAGTAAGGAAAAGGCGTGTTAGAGTGTGGGGATGGCATGAAGCAGGGGTCCTCAAACTACGGCCCGCGGGCCACATGCAAATACAAATATTGTATTTGTTCCCGTTTTGTTTTTTTACTTCAAAATAAGATATGTGCAGTGTGCATAGGAATTTGTTCATAGTTTTTTTTTAAACTATAGTCCGGCCCTCCAACGGTCTGAGGGACAGTGAACTGGCCCCCTGTTTAAAAAGTTTGAGGACCCCTGGCATGAAGTCTGCGTGTAGTGGATGATATGAGCCAGGCTCCAATACCATGAGACGGCCTTCTCTTCAGGTGTCCCAGAGAGGGCCACACCGATCTTGACTCACTGTAAAGAAGGCCTTTCACACACCTGGGAAGCACATGATGAGTTAGGCTGGCGCATGAGGTTGTGAGCGCTAAGGTGTCACTGTGGAGTGCAGGCAAAGCCCCAAGATCTGAGTTCCAGGGAATTTGGGGGAGAATTTCCACCTGGGAAGGAGGCTGGACCAAATTATTCTCAGGAGTTTTCTCACTCAAAGCTTTTTGATACTGTGCTTCTCGGTGGGGAATAACTCAGTGATAACTCCGTGGATGAGAAATAACTTTGCATTCAGCTGACTTCCTGCTTTATTTGCTTCTCTCTAGTCTGTTCAGAAGAAACCTGATCCCCTGCCCACTCAGGACCCCTGCACCACCATTTACGTGGCTGCCACAGAGCCTGTCCCAGAGCCTGTTCAGGTGAGGATCTCTGCAGAGAGGGAATCGGAGGAGAGGGAGGGGTGGGATGCCTGCAGAGCTGAAATGAAACAGAGGCCTGCAATGGACAAGCAGGCCCTCGCAAGAAGGTAGCAAGGAGCAGTTACGGCCTTGGTTGCAGGGCTTCCGGGAACCCCTCGTGGCTGCTCATGTGGGTCACAGCTTCCTCTGCTCCCTAGTGTTTCTCAGAATCCGCTGTATCTTTGTTAAAAAATAAAGATTCCTGGAGTTTTCCACTCAGGAGTCGGTTCAATCAGGATGCCTATGGCAAGTGACCAGGCAGCTACACATCTAAAATCAACATCCCTCGGGACCCAGACGCACCTTTAAGTTTGGGGATTGCGCCCTAGCCAGTGTGGCTCAGTGGATAGAGCGTCGGCCTGCGGACTGAAGGGTCCCAGGTTCAAATTCTGGCCAAGGGCACATGCCCGGGTTGAGGGCTCGATCCCCAATGGGAGGCATGCAGGAGGCAGCCGATCAATGATTCCCTCTCATCATTGATGTTTCTATCTCTCGCTATCTCTTCCTTCCTCTCTGAAATCAATAAAAGAATATTTAAAAAAAAAAAAAAGTTTGGGGATTGCAGTTTGAGTCCAGAAGTCCTCAAGTTCAGCTGCGTAACAGAATCATCTGTCAAATGCCTGTGTCTGGGCTCCATCCCGCCCGGTTAAATAGGCACCTGATTCTATTTAATCAGAATATTTAGGGCCTGAGTGCTGCGTCCTATGGAACCCAGAAGAGAATGTGACGCGCAGCCCAGAATGAGCCTGCCCATTCTACCCCGTCGCAAAATCAGCCTGGGATTCATTTCACTTGACAGCAAGCTCGCCTTTTACTAAATGGACAGAAATCAAGTCTGGGCTGAAATGTTGGCTCTGGCTGTGCTCTATTAAATAAAGCACCTTAGGAGACGGTGAGGGTTAAAAGGCCACTGACCTGCCTACATGTACCCCTCTTCTTCGAAGCTCTCACTGTACACATGCTCTGACTTCAAAATCTTTACAAAATCATGTAAATTTATCATGAAGTTCTCTGGGGAAAGAAAAACCCTGTATTTCACATTTCCTAGAAAAACCTCCTGATTCTTCCCATTTCTATCTCTTTCTTTCTCAGACGCTTGAATCTCCTCTCCCTGCACAAGGTCTTTGCCCCAAATCCTCACCTCCTCCCCCTCCGTCTCTCCTGCCTGAACCACTAACCCTTTGTAAAGCTCGGGAATTTGGAATTCTCTTAGCTTCTCCAAACTGTGCCCCATGAGAGCAAGACAAATGGTTGGGAGGCATGCAGGAGGCAGCCGATCAATGATTCTCTCTCATCATTGATGTTTCTATCTCTCACTACCTCTTCCTTCCTCTCTGAAATCAATAAAAGAATATTAAAAAAAAAAAAAGTTTGGGGATTGCAGTTTGAGTCCAGAAGTCCTCAAGTTCAGCTGCGTAACAGAATCATCTGTCAAATGCCTGTGTCTGGGCTCCATCCCGCCCGGTTAAATAGGCACCTGATTCTATTTAGTCAGAATATTTAGGGCCTGAGCGCTGCGTCCTATGGAACCCAGAAGAGAATGTGACGCGCAGCCCAGAATGAGCCTGCCCATTCTACCCCGTCGCAAAATCAGCCTGGGATTCATTTCACTTGACAGCAAGCTCGCCTTTTACTAAATGGACAGAAATCAAGTCTGGGCTGAAATCTTGGCTCTGGCTGTGCTCTATTAAATAAAGCACCTTAGGAGACGGTGAGGGTTAAAAGGCCACTGACCTGCCTACATGTACCCCTCTTCTTCGAAGCTCTCACTGTACACATGCTCTGACTTCAAAATCTTTACAAAATCATGTAAATTTATCATGAAGTTCTCTGGGGAAAGAAAAACCCTGTATTTCACATTTCCTAGAAAAACCTCCTGATTCTTCCCATTTCTGTCTCTTTCTTTCTCAGACGCTTGAATCTCCTCTCCCTGCACAAGGTCTTTGCCCCAAATCCTCACCTCCTCCCCCTCCGTCTCTCCTGCCTGAACCACTAACCCTTTGTAAAGCTCGGGAATTTGGAATTCTCTTAGCTTCTCCAAACTGTGCCCCATGAGAGCAAGACAAATGGTTTCCTTCTCCTAAGTCAGGAGAAGGGAAGAGAGCAAGGAGGGGAGGGCGCCGGGTTCTGGCCCTCAGCTCCCCGGGACAGGTCTCCCTGTCTCCTGAGGGCAGGTGTCCGCTTGGAAGGAGCCATAGTCCATCTTGTGGGCGGGACAGGCAGCTGGGGCTGAGTGCCACCTCCGACAGCAGTGCCCGACCTTGACAGACAGGCCCTGAGCCAGTCTCTGTGCTACAAGATTTCTGAGGCCCCTCCCTTTTCCTAAGCAGATCTCTTTCTCTTCGTTCCTGTGAAGCTAGAGCCCGTCCCCCCACTCACAGACCCCCTCTGTTTTGCCCCCAGGAGCCGAGCTCCATCACCGTCTACGCCAGTGTGACACTTCCAGAGAGCTGACACCACAGACCCAGCGAAGGGACAGGCGGAAGGAGGACGGAGGAGCCAAAAGAAACACTGAACTTGGCCCCAGGCCTCAAGTTCTTAGGATACTCTACACACCTGCACTCCTCGGATCAGCTCCCTGGGGATGTCGCTTCCACACCCACCCGTGACAGGGACAAGCAAGGGAAGTTTCCCGCGCACTTAGCCTGCTCTGCAGGGCACAGGCCCAGGACAGGTTTCCGTCTCTGTGGTGCAGCAGACAGAATGACAATGCAAAGCCACGAGTCTAGACCTTCGGGTGTCTTGCTCTTCGCTGGGAGTGGATAAGGAAAGCCAAAGGCAGAAAGCCAGCACATAGAGCTCGGAGCTCAGGCGCTGGCCAGCAGCAGAGCCTGGAACCGTTTCCACTCTGGCTGCCTGTTCTTGGTTCTGGGAGCTGCTCCGGGTCACCAGGCAGGCCTGCTCCAGGCTCTGTGCCTGGGGTTCTCTCTCTGGATGGGCAATGAAGGATGAGTTCCTTATTCTATGTAAAACACTGCGACAAAAGAAGCTAAAGAGTCAATAAACTGACAACATGGCTTTGAGGTCTCCGAGCTTTGAATAATGGAATGAAAATCATCTAAGATTCTTAAAAAGCATAGTTTTAAGAATGTGCAAATGGTGGGTGCTCAGATTTAAAGAAACGTGGCAAGTATTTGGTGATGCTGTTACAAAGGAATTTGCGGTCATCAGAACTTATTTTAGGGTGATTTTTCACTTCCCCAAATTATTTTTAAATTCTAGTTCTCTGTTTGCTCTGTTGAGCAACAAATCTGGAGCTTCAGCTAAGACTTGTCAACCTTATTCTGAACTCGTTTTACTACATCGGCCGCCTCACATCACCAGGGTCTCCAGCAGGAACTTCCTAACCCCTCGCGCTGAATCTATCCTGAAGTAGAAAATTAACATATTTCAGCCTCACAGTTTCAAGGAATTGAATGCTTAATAAATTGCAGGCTGCAGACAGAGAGCTTCCTTCATAAAGTCCTATTTTCTTCCTATTCTCTTGCTTTCAGACATTCCTTCCTCAATGGAAGCCCTTCCTCTTTCCGACAGGCACTTGTGTGACACTAAGAAAGCACCGGCTGTCTTCCAACCATGTCACAAGGGTCACCAACATCCCGGCTCAGAACGCTGAGGTCCTTGTCACCTTGTACCTCCTCTGTTCAGTCCATTCGTACTTTAGTTCTGTTGCTCGGTGTAGCTCATTCCCTGGTAGTGATTTTGGTAATAGAGTTCTTAGCTGTGATCGACAGAAACTGGTCTGGATTTTGTTTTAATATATTTTTATTCATTTCAGAGAGGAACGGAGAAGGAGTGAGAGATAGAAACATCAATGATGAGAGAGAATCACTGATTGGCTGCCTCCCGGGCATGTGCCCTTGACCAGAATCAAACCCGGGACCCTTCAGTCCGCAGGCCGACGCTCTACCCACTGAGCCAAACCGGCTAGGGCTGGATTTTTATTTCATTTTTTTAATGTAGAAAAGAATTCTACTGAAAATATTTTGCAGGGGCTTCTGTAAAACCATCCTTTGAAAATGAGCAGGAAGTGGGAAGACATCGGCTGTGGCCAGGACCACAGCCCAAATCACAAACCCAGCTCAGGGATGGCAGTGCTGAGCACCAGTTGCTCCGCCGTTGTGGGCTCCACCACCCCCGCCCTACCTCCTACCTCCGCTGGACTGGAAACTCCTTCTGCTGTTGGCACTGGCTGAACCACAGTGACTGCTCCAGGGTCCTTATTCATCTCTCCACCTCTATTTTTTTTTCTTTTTTCTTTTTTAATGTATTTTATTGATGTTTTACAGAGAGGAAGGGAGTGGGATAAAGAGTTAGAAACATCGATGAGAGAGAAACATCCATCAGCTGCCTCCTACACACTCCCCACTGGGGATGTGCCCACAACCAAGGTACATTCCCTTGACCATAATCGAACCTGGGACCCTTGAGTCCACAGGCTGACGCTCTATCCACTGAGCCAAACCAGTTAGGACCACCTCTAATCCAGAGTCTGAGCCTGAGTGGCCAATCACAGGCCACTCACCCATGTTCTACTCCCAGGGAGGCTGGGAATTGAATACCTGCCATTTTCCACTTGCATAGGTGGGATCTGCCTCGTATGAGTCAGCAAATTCCCCAAACATAAGCAGTGGAATTTAACGCTGGGCGAGCAAAGAAAGAGAAAAAAATGTCCACATCACCTTTTCTAACCTCGGGCTGTCTGAGTAATCCCTCCTTTACAACTGGGGTCGTCCCAGCAGCTCCGTTTTCAGCACTTGGGTTTTTCCTGTGGCTAAATTCTACCTGCTGGAAGGGCCGGAGCAAAGGGGGAAAGGAGAGGCGAATCCCTCAGAGTTTCCTGTCTCAGATCAAGACCTCACTGGGGAGGGGGGCCGTGTCTTGGAGTCTGTGCCATCCTTCCAATGACCAGGAAAACAGACAGCCCCTCCCTGTCCCCCAAAGGCGAGCTGGAGCGTTCCTTTTCATTGGGCTTAAAAAATAAAAGTAAAACTGATACTTCAGAGTCTGATTTCCCCGTGTTTCTTCTCTAATGTTGTTTTCTGAATGAGCACATCTGAATTCTGGAGAACTCGGGAGGAAAAGACTCATTTTTCGTCTGAAGGGACTGCTGTTCGGCAGTACAACCTTGGACGATCTCAAGCCTCTTGAAGGACACGTTCTCTAGTTAAAGAACCCGGATGTGATTGGTAAAGGGTGCATTCGCTGACTGAGAAACCACCCATTGCAGTAAGTGACTTCTCTTCCTGCAGTTCTTGTTTCTACCTCCAGGAAACGAAGAAAATACAGACAGTTCATCCAGGAAATTGTACTCGTGTCTTGTGATGCCGACAGGATTCATGACACAGTAGCATGGCCAGCCGTTCCACATGGCCAGACGTGCCGCATGGCCCTGTGTCTCTGTCGCTGTAGTCATGTAATACTGAAGGTGGCTGCTTTGCCTGGATGAGCGGTGAGATGGTCCCTTCCCTAGGGGATGTGCCCTCCTCACCAAAGTCAGGAGCCCCCTTCCACATGAGAAGAGAACTGTGTTGAAAGGATTGTTTAACTTCTGTCACTGCCAGAAGAATTGCCTTTCCCAGACTTCTCCAATTCCCCCTGTGGAGCAATGCAGAGCAGCGTTTCTCAACTGCAGCAGGGTGGACATTTTGGTCCAGATAATTGTTTTCATGGCTGCCCCATGCATCGCATGATGTTTAGCAGATGCCAGTAGCACATCCCCTGTCCCTGATCAAGACAATCAAAAATGTCTCCAGCCCTTACCGGTTTGACTCAGTGGGTAGAGTGTCAGCCTGCGGACTCAAGGGTCCCAGGTTCGATTCCGGTCAAGGGCATGTACCTTAGTTGCGGGCACATCCCTAGTAAGGGGTGTGCAGGAGGCAGCTGATCAATGTTTCTCTCTCATCAACATTTCTAACTCTCTATCTTTCTTCCTTCCTCTCTGTAAAAAAATCAATAAAATATATACATTTTTAAAAAATGTCTCCCGGCCATTGCCAAATGTTTCCTGGTGGGAAAATTTTCCCACTGACTGAGAATCTCGAATCTAAAACCATACTGACTACCTAGTGATCTTTGTGCAGACTAACTATACTTCTATATACCAACAAGTAGCGCTCTCAAACATCACATTTTTTAAAAATACATATTTTTTTATTGATTTCAGAGAGGAAGGATGGGAGAGAGAGATAGAAACATCATTGATGAGAGAGAATCACTGATCGGCTGCCTCCTGCACGCCCCACACTGGGGGATCAATCCCACAACCCGGGCATGTGCTCTGACCGGGAATCAAACCATGACTTCTTGTTTTATAGGTCAACGCTCAACCACTGAGCCACGCCCGCCGGGCCAAAAATAACATTTTTTAAATCTACACCCGAGGATATGTTTAGAGAGAGGAAGGGGAAAGGGAGAGAGAAAGAGACATAGGTATGAGAGAGACGGTGTTCCAACCAACTGAGCCACCTGGCCAGGGCCAAAAATCAGATTTTGAAAGCGGCCGCCTGGTCACGTAAGCATGGCTTACACCTGCCAATATTCCCAAGGTTATCTAAATATTAGAGTTGCCAGATAACTTTTTAAAAATATTGATGCCCAAACCCTACCTCAAACCCAAATGAAATCTTGGTTGAGTATATAGAACCACCAACTTAGAGGCCCACCCCTTTCTCTAACTCCCTGGTTAAGCATCCCACAAGCCTCCCCTCAAATTCTCTCCCACAGCAGTTACGCATGTTCCTTTGTGAAAAAGTTCCAAGCGGAACGTTATTGCACATTCTTCACAGAAAGGATTTTGTGAAGAATTCCATACAGCAACCACAAGAGGGAGCTGTGGCAATGCTGCAGTCCACCCCCCACATGCATCCACAACACCACTTCTCTTGCATCTAAAAGATGTGTGTGGCGGGGGGGGGGGGACGGACATATGTAATACTCTTTGTAATACTTTAAGCAATAAAACAAAATTTTAAAAAAATAAAAATTAAATTTAAAAAAGATGTGAACTTAGTCACAGACTTGCTGAAAGTGCCTGGATTCTCGTGAGTCCACAACACATACAAGCTGGAGGGAGAGTTGAACCCTCCCCTTAGACATAAGGAAACCCAGTGTGGGTTGATGACAGATTCTAATCAAAGTTAACTGCAGTAAGTTTATTTCACAGAAGATGCCTGGTTCTACTCAATGTTTCACTCATTCAACAAATAGTTATCACGTTCCTACTAAGTGTCAGAGTGTGCCATCCAGTGGGAGAAACAAGGAATGCAAGCAATTGAAATGTTAAACAATAGGTAGACAACCACGTGATCTACTGGGGCTTGAATAACATTCCTGCCAGGTCCCGACACCCCATCCCTCACTCATGAGGAAGAGTGCATGAGCTGTTTTGTGAATTTGGGAAGATGAGCTGAACAAGCCCAACTCAGTCCCTTCTGAGCTCTCTTTCTTGGGACCAGTCTGTCTGTAAGATGCACATGCTCTTGTCTACTCACTCCTGCTCACAAGAGCGGGATGTCCTCTTACTGGGCACATGTCCGGGGATTGCCAGCTCGTTGTGGCCTCCTCCTTTCCCCCTTTCTCCTCTTTCCCTCCGCCTCTCTTCATCATCATTATAACAACACTAGTAGCCAACATTTATTGGCCGCTTGCTAAGTGCCAGCTATGGTCCTGAGTGCTAATCATGCATCAGCTCTCCTAACGCCACATTTGCCAATCAGTTTCAACAATAATAGAGCTAACCCCATTTTTCCACCTTTATGACTTCTGTCTCTGTCAAAACTGTTTCCAAACTCAGAAGAAGAGCGGGTATCACTTATTGTCCCCTCCCCAAATCCCACCACTTTCTCCAACTCCCTGGTTAAGCATCCTACAAGCCTCCCCTGAAATTCTCTCCCACCGCAGTTAGACATGTTCCATTGTTAAAAAGTTCCAGGCGGAAAGTTATTGCACATTAAAATCCTCCTTCCTGAAACTTGCCTGTTTTCATCCTGGTTCTTCTCTCTGAATAGTCTAATTCT